CGTAGCCAATTATGCTACAAGAATTGTATATTTACATTGATTAATTAATAAATGTACATATTTATTCAAAAAATATATTTTATTAAGGTATTTTAAATTTGTTTATATAATCTTTAATAAATTTTTATCAGACATCTATAGTCCTGTAACTTTTAATAATTATAACTGCTTATGACAATAATTAAAAATAAAATTCTAAAGATATACACGCTATTGTTAAGCAAGAAATATTGACTTTTACTTGAAGTTTATTTTAATATTTTGGGTAGTGCTTAAAAATTGTTTCTCTTAACTTCAGCACAATAAATTGCTTGTTTTAATTAATTACAAAATTTAATTTTAATATAAAAATTGGGTCAAAGTGTGAATGTACAGAATATTTATTTTTCGTTGTGGCAAAATCATTTATTGGTTAGTAATTAGTATTTAATTCTTAGATTCGGTAAGTACATGCACATCTATGGCTCACAAAATAAATAAATAAATAAATTTTTAATATTGGAGAGTCAAAATTGATATCGTATGTATCCCAGCTGGTTTGACGGTATACAATCAGTTCTTTGACACCTGTAAGTGTGTTTTAAATATTTTATTATAATGCTAATGGGTATAAGATATTTTTTATTTATTCAAAGAAAAATTATAAAAGAAATATATATTCACTATAAATCATACCTAACTAAACTAAACAAATTACATCGCTGCATTTAAACAATCATCGGTTCATATTTTTTTAACATTATTTTTTGAGATGACTAGAATTAGTGTTGTTAGATAATTTTCTATTTAAATAACTAAAATTATAGTAATATATTTGATAATTAAATTAAATATCTATTTAATCACGCTATTTATTTAATAAAGAATTTTCTTTAAAAAAAAAATAAAAACACATTAAAACTCATGGACAAGGACATTCATCCCGGATATAAAAAAGAAAGTTAAGAAAATTAAATATCTCTTTTAAACAAACAAAATTAACATAAACATATATGTAACGGACCGGAACTTGAAATGAAATAAAATCATAAATTGAATGCGAAAGCAAAATAATAGAGTTAGAGTTTACATTTCTTATACAATAATTTAGAATATACAATAGGGTTATGAGAATGATATTTCTAAAAAAATAAGCGAAAAATCAAGAAATAAAAGAAAAGTAAATAATTAGGTATCCTATGACGACCTTCACTAACATTTGAAAGAAGTTCGGGTGGTAAACTATTCACAACTCTTTTATTGATCGGGATCTGAATCTGAATCTTGATCCTCTTGATCTAAAATGGTTAATAAAAGAGTGAGTTATACTAGTCAAGTAAGAATATCACACTACTCACCAATACAGAAATGAATGTTGATAAAAATTATAAAAATAACTAATAGAGCTATTAAATTAAGTAAATTCATTTAACATAAATAAAATCATTTTTTTGCATACTTACTGTAGCGAAATTTTCAAAACTGACCTATAAAGACAATAACTCAACAATATCATAATCTCATATTCAAGTAAGTAAGAATAACAACTTTTATTTTTTATCTACCTATTGGTATCTATGAGGTCAATAATGGATGTCCCCCTACATGTGAACTAACATCAACCTTATCAACTAACCGGCCATCCCTATACCCTGTCCAGTATG